ATGTTCATTTCCGCGGATCGGAGGAAGATCCGTCAGAAGTGCGAACACGTGTGTATATTCATCCAGAAGTTGTATTATCGACTCCAGAATTGTGTGAATGGTAGAGGTTACCTTACCACTGGTTGCTAAAAGCTCTACTCTTCCTTTCGAACCAGTAGTAGACATAGGAGATAATGTCTTCACTGAGAACTGGGACAATGGATAGTTGGATCTCCAAAGAGTGTTACTCATTGGCCTTCATAGATAAAAAGTCATTCTTCTTTTTTCCAATTTACTTCGCATTTTCCTAATGTCTCGGTCAATTGGAATGTCACTGATCTGCCGAAACCTGTACCCTTAATTGTGACTTTATTTCCAAGTTATGCGATGCTCCACTATGGAGCAATACAATCATGTTAGTTTTGTTAATGCTTCTATAGATTTTGGTTTTCTTTGGTAAATGGGTCCCCAAGAAGGAGTTCAAGGATAAGACACGTAATTCATGAACTACCTCCGAGAAGACTTATTTCTCTTCACTCTCATCACATTCGTCCAATACTTCCATCTCGATGCCATTAATAACTGTGATCACTAGTAAATTTTTTATTCAGACATCGGTAAGCTCTAGACCACCCTTGTGCACCTCATTTAAAACAAATCAAATCCTTACGCATCCTATCCAATTCAGCATCCTTGAATTGCTGGCAAGGATGTTTCTAATTATCTTTAAACTAAGGAGCATTTTCTTTTTTGATCTGAACATGTCTTGTATTTTGTCCATTCGAAGTTCCTGTGTATGCCTTTGTTTCTTGAGTGTAATAGTTTCTGTTTGTGTTGTAAGTGGATGAATATTTAAGTGGAGTAACTGTAAACGACCTATGAACTATTACTCACAACCTTGCAGAAAGCATTGAATTACATCTGTAAGATAGCCGCAATGTGATTTTCTAGTCCGACAGGTTTTTTCATTCTGATTACTTCTTTCATTACAAGATCCAAGCCATTGAAGAATATCTTTGTGAGATGTTCATCATCGATGCCTGAACCTCTGATAGTTCCTCAAACTCTGAAATATAGTCGGCAATAGACTGTGTATGCTTAATTAAAAACAATATGATAGTTGGATCTTCTTTGATTGATTCTTAAAAATAATATAATAGTTGGATTATTTTTAAAATCAATCCAACTGTTGAAACCTTTCCTCTTTAACTCCCACGCAAAACCATTTCTTCACCCGACCTTCCAAATTCAGCACAACTGATTCCAACCTTTCTTCATCATCATAAAGACCAATGGTGAAGAATCTCTCAACATCTTTGATCCACACGTAAGGATATTTCTCTGAGAACCCTGGCATTTTTTGCAACATACTTTCTCAATTTGAAATCAACATATTCCCATATCGATAACGTAACTGAGAATCATCCCGATTCATTCCAGATTGGGTGTGTGTACCTAAAGATTGTGTCTACGGAAGTGTTAGAGCTGTTACTCAGATTAATTGTGGCATTCTTGGATAGATTTCGTCAATCATTATGAGTTCCAATTTCGTTAAAACTTACAAGTCATCTTTGAATGTCATGAATCTATAGTATCTGCAAATTTTTTCTCTATTTAGTTCATGAACATGTGAAACTCTTCCTCAAATATATATATACAATGGGAATGGAAGATCTTATGATCTCTCGTTCCCTCCAATCATAAATCGCCGCAAGATTCTGTAGATTTGAAACAACGTAAAACTAAACACAATTAGAGAAACCCCAAGAATCAAAAACAATTGCTTGAAGAACAAGTCATCAAAACTTAAAGAAAATCATGGATAATCTCTTACCTATTAATGTGTTAATGTGACCATGTAGTTTAATGAATTATGCTTACTTGTTTTAATTTTATTGGTTAAAAACATCAATCTAACCTAATTAAATGTGACATGGAATGATGATGTATAATGATGATGTAATTATGACTTGGCATATACAAACACATGTGGATTATGACATGGCAAAAAATATTTCTGTGTTTAATTTATTTTAGTTCTAATAATTATTTTATGAAAAAAGAAAATATTTAATTATTAATATAAATTGAACAACAAAGGCAACTACCTTCTGATAAAAAAATAGATAGAGTAAAAAACAAAATAAAAGTGAAGATAAAGCTTTCTAAAGAGTAATTAATGTGTGTTACCTCTTGCGATATGATTATTTAAACTTTGTAATAATGAAAAGATGAAGCATCATCAGTATGTTACTATTAACACATTAGAGAAAGTAATAGTTATTTTTTTGTGCAAACCTGAGCTACGGTCAGTTTACCGAAAAGAAAATCTTGTAGACTCTATGATCGAGAAGAAACAGAAAAATGGAAACACTGGCCAAACTATTTAACAAACTCTCCCATAGGTTCTTATGAATCAACATCAGTTTCTTGAATATATTGGCTGAAATTTTGAGTGTTGTGGAATACGAAAGTACTAATTAATGATTCTTCCAAATCATGATATGAGAGTTGTGAAAAGGCTACAGTAAAAATTTTATATTTTATACACTAGAAAATCAAACTATATCGAAAGAAATTTTTTATTATTATTTGAAATAGAAATTTAACTATTTGAACTCATCACATTGTGTATACGTCTATAATTTTTCATCATTATAGTTTTCATAAAAGTAACCAATCTATTTCTTATATAATTCCATACCACACAAAAAGATTTTTACCCATCAAGCTTTAATAACCCCACACATATGTGCAGGCATAAAAAATTTAATAAAAATTAATTAATAATAATATATATAACTTATAATAAATAAGTGATTGACTTATTCAGTAATATATTTGTAAAAAGTTTTAGTTTGTAAAAAATGATTTAATAGGTTTGAGAAATTGTATATAGCAAAAATAAAAAATATACACAAAACTTAAAATATCTTTAAAAAGCTTAAAATAAAATTATTCTTCGTTATTCTTCGTTTTCTATTTTTTATTCATAATTTACTATTTTTATAGTTTTTAATCTCATTCTGTCATCTTTCGCCCCGTTTCTGGTTCGTAATTTTTGCTATATAATTAGAATAAATTCATATATAATATAAACTTTTATTCTTTATTTATAATGGGACAAGATAAGATGAAAATAAAAATGAATAAATTATTCTTCTAAAAATCTGATTCCACAAATTTCAGACAAACACTTCAAATTGAAAATATTTCGATTTTGTGAATTTTCCGTGAAAAAGTGTCCATAAAAAAATTCTCCAAAAGCTTTACGTTAAAAATGTGATTCCCAAAACTTCCGTGAAAACCTGATTTTAGAAATTTTCCGCCAAAAATATGAAATTTTAACTTTCCCACCAAAACATTTATTATAGAGTATTTTAATTTGATTTCGTGATCAAATATTTTAAATCATAAAATTTATGCCAAAAATGTGAATTATATATCAAAAAATAAGATTTTGTTAAAAAAAATTTCCGTCAAAAAAGTGAATACATAAATTGTGTGTCAAAAAATTACTTTATAAATTTGATTAAAAAAAAGTTCGTCAATAATTTGATTTCGAGCTTTTTTCGCAAGAAATTGTGATTTCAAAAAACTTATATCCAAATTGCGATATCAAAAACTTTATGCCAAAATAGATTGCCACAAATGTTTTGCCAAATTCTTGAAATATGAAAGTTTTCCGACCGAAGTTTTGTGTCAAAAATGTGATTTCAAATTTATTTGACAAAAATATCATTTTCTAAATTTTCTGTTAAAAACTTGAATACTTAAATTTTGTATCATGTTACATATGGATTGATTAATATAATGTAAACACATATGTGCATGTGACATGTTAACAAGAAAACATACAAAGAATTATACAAGTTGGTCCAATTGCTATGATGAATTAAACTCAAAAAAAAAATTCTTATTTTTTGAGTAATACTTTCTTTCAATCTATAATTTCAAAATGTAATATCAATATGTATATATTTTCAGTTAGACCATATCTATAAGTGTATAACAATCAAAAATTGTAGGATAATACGAAATGAGAAACAAGTGGAATTGAAGAATTACCCAGCAAGTAGCGTGGGTGAACGATAAAATTGGACCATATTTTGCTACTAAATTTAAGGTCTTATAATTCAACAATGGATCTGATTTTTATATACTATAAAAAGTTAGAATATTTGAGATAGGTTTACATATTGTATTTATATGTACAGTAAAACCTCTACTAATTAATAATGTTGGGACTGCAAGAATTTATTAATTTATAGAGTTATTAATTAATCGAGAACTTAATATTTTATTAATTTATCAAGAACTTAATATTTTATTAATTTATAGAGAGATATTTTAGTTCAAATCCAAAATATTTGTCAAAAAACAAATAAAATATTTTCAACAATGTAAAATTTATTCAGAAAATATCATATCAGTGAATTTAAAAAATAAGTTTAACAAATTTTATAAACTTGAAACAATAATATAATTAGATTTTACTATATTATATTATTTATATATGCTTAAATATATAATTATTAATTTATTTAATTATTGAGACTATATTTTTATATAAGAGTTTCAAAAAAAATATTATTTTATTATTTTATCGAAATTTGTTAATTTTTACACTGGCTCCACTTGAAACCGACAAAAATTATTAATTTATAGTAATTATTAATTTATTGAATATTAATTTATAAAAATTATTAATTTATAGTAATTATTAATTTATTGAATATTAATTTATAAAGGTTCCACTGTATTATATTTATATATTCATGCCTGCAGCCCAATTTCCTAGTTTGATATAAAATGATAACTTCTTTTTTTCTTTTAGTTTTTATTTTTTTGAATTTTATACCCCCGACCACTGAGATTCTAAAAGGTAAAGAATGTTACCTTCTTGTGTTTGAACTTTGAAGTATGTAAAATGCTCTTCAACAATTTTGTATGTCTTGTTAAGCTTCACAGGTTTAAAAGCAAGCCATGTTAAAGTGATTGGCTTCATCAAACATACTGAATTTGCATTCTTCAGCATTAGGAGGTATAAACGATAGAAACTGAAAAAAAGGTATCTATCAGTATCAATTCGTACTCCAGTAGTCTAGTTAGGTCTCTTTTTTTTAAGACTCGTTTTTTTAATAAAAGAAACAAAAATCCGAAGGTTTTGATAAAGACAACAAGCAAAAATCCAATGATATCACAATGAGCCTTCTCAAAACCCAAAACAGAGTAGTAGTTGATAGATCTAAGAAACCAGTTCACTTGGCAGAAGAGTGCTTGGCCTTGGTGTGAGACTCAAGTGCATTCTCTGAGTTGAATGTCCTGACGACACAAAGATCACCACAACGAGAGAATTGTTATTACAAGTATAAATATTAGGCTCAGAGAGTTTAAAGAGACAGAGAAAGAGAGAGTCTCACTTCTTGCATGAAGCACAAGAGACTGGAGTTGCAGTCGCTGGAGTCTTTCCACCTTTCTTTGCTGGGTGGGGCGTTGCGGTGTGTCCTCCTTTCTTCTTCTCGTCTGTGCCAAAGTAATCTTCATATGAGTACAAAAGTTATACAGAATGTGTGCTGCTTCATTTGAGAGCTATTAACATTTATAAATAAAAAAAAAAGATTTTATATTTACCTGTTTTCTTAGGAGTAACTTCTGCTTTAGCCTTCTTTGCAGACACAGGTGTTTTGGGTGCTGCTTCATTGGCTCTCTTCTTGCTTGATTCAGGCTTTTAAACAAATCATATGAAAAAAGTATGGTGAGAAAGAAAATTATCAAGAACAAGGAATGTTGGAGAGACGTTGAGATATATTACCTTCTTCGGTGTCTCCTCCTTTTCTTCCTCGGAATCATCTTCATCATCAGTATCGTCTTCATCAACACTCATCTGCAAAGAAAAGAGCCAATCATATTAGAACTCAGCATCACTCTAAATGGTGCATGGTATGCATATTACTTTGAAACAAAGAGACAAAATCAAAGTAAGGTACAGAAAACTCACTCCTTCATCAGAATCGGATTCATCCTCTTCAACATCATCTGCTTCAGGCTTCGCATTCTTTTTCACTTCCGCAGCCTTGTCCTTGATAGCATTGGCCTTAGCAGCATTGGCAATGACATCAGGAATTGCCTCTTCCTCTTCTTCCTCTGAGTCTGTCAAAAGGAAATGTAGTAAGCCATCAGCAACCAAACCAATACTAAGGTACGAAAGAGAGACATAGAAGGAGGTTTATCTTGTTACTTACCACAAAAGTAATCACCTCCCTCGTCGTTGCTGGGAACTTTGAATCCAACAAAGTGGACACTTTTTCCCCACTCGTGAGAAAGCTCAAACTCCTTATCGAATACTAAATCAAAATTCGTCTGAGGAATGCTCCCAGAAACAAGAGTGCCCAGAACAAACTTCTCGTCCCCAACCTTCACATACAAAGGCACAGTTTCTCCCTTCTTGTTCTTGCAATCACCAAGCGATGCCTAACACACAGAACAAGATAAATCAAGATGCTTACACTAGCCTCAAAGAAAACTCTTAAGAATCAAATCAAAATAACGTTTTGATATTACTAACATGAGAGATGTGGACAAGAATTCCTTCTTCAGGCGTCACTTTGAGTGGCTTTCCTGCTGGAACTTCAACTCCTGATTACATCAATTAGAGGAAAATCAAACATCGTACTGAAACTCAAATCTCCTTATTGACGCTACAAAGAAATGATGGATACACACACGAGGAAGCAGAGTTCGAAACAGATTCCATAAAGCTATATAAAAAACTACGGATTCCATCGTATTAACATCTAACAAAATCTACGGATTAAAATCGCCTTAACAGAGTTCGAAACAGATTTCATAACGCTAAAAACTTTCCGAGATGCCCTACACTAGAGGAGCGTGACGAAGTGCAACGAGTATTGATTTTGCGCAAAAGGTTTTAGGATTTTCTAAACGCCTCAGATAAATTAACAATCAAATGAGTGAAATGGAGAAGATTCTTACCCCAGAACTCCATGGCTAACAATCGAGGAAGAAAAGCTTGAAAAGAGAGGATGTTAGGGTTTATGGAGTCAGCGGAAACGGAAGACGAAGAAGAGAAATGGGGTTTTGGGAGAATTTATATAATCGAAAGGGTTTTAGTGATTAGGTTTTTAGGGTTCTTGTTCGACGCCGTTTTAAGATTATGAAAATTCTAGGCTTTCTAGTAAAATTTGGCACTTTTTACGGATTACTTTAATCACAATGGGCCTTTAGCTTTTGAAAGCCCACTTTCTCCAATGCCGTCGTGGAGAGATATTCATCTTTTTTGCTAGCACCTTCCATTTACTCCAAACATAGTTTTTTTTTTTTTTTTTTGAACATACTCCAAACATAGTTGCATTCGAAGAACCAACATCTAGGGCTTGAAGGTAAGATATAGGAAGATTTTGGAAAGCATGTGGGATAGGAGGCATCATAGGTTTTCCCGTGGATGGTGTGGTTCATTTAGAAGACATATAAATAAAAAATTCGAAAATGTATCAGAAGATCACACACATCATCAAAAAATTCTATAAAATGTATCATTTATATATATAACTTTTACAGTCACACGTTATATCTCAAAATATGCTCCATCATTCTTGATAGACTAGATAATGTAAGTTTTGAAATACATATAGCCATGCAGTTATTCTAGAGAATTTTTGAGATTTGACATATAGTGCAAGATTAACACAAGTAGCTTTGAATAAGTTAACTTTATACATAAACAAATTTAGAGTAATCTAACCGAGATGGGTTTCCAGCTAGCTCTCTATCAATTTTTTTATATAAGAAAATGTTACTTGTAGATTAGGAACAATCACAGAGAGAAGAAGATATTGTGTCTTATTAAGAATATAACGTTTACAAATACAAATAAGTAGAATATAAAACACTAACTTGATGGTTTCTCTCTTAATGAAGAAGAAACAATTTGCAGAAGGATAGAGGCTTGCTTGTGGCAATTTTCTAAGACAGAATTTCATCCCTACTGTGCTGTAAGTAGCTTCATAGATGCCTATCTTGCAGGATACAACTATCAAACTCTGTTTGAGACACCGTACAGAGTTTCTAGCAAACTGTACTTTGTGTTTCTCAGAAATTGATTTTAGAGAAGAATAAGAGAAGAGTAAAATTGAAATCAATCCTTATTCTGAATAACATCTAACCATCTCTTTATATATTGTTCTAATAGATGTGTTTTGTTTGAGTCAACAGACACAACCATTTCTATCAAAGGTTGCGTACATTTCAAGAAACGTATCTTTACTAACACATAACGTATCTTCAGTAGCACATATTTTATTTAATTACTTAGTTAACTAAAATCAAATAAACACCAACAATACTCTATATTTTCTATTCAAAGTCAAGAATACCTCACATTTGAATAGGAAATAAGTTTTTAATTTTCTGAGAAAATAGAATCAATATACATTGGAGAAGGTGTCTTGTGAACTTGAACCTTTCCTAGTTTCAAATTATCAAATTTACTTTGTGAGTAATGAACTTTAGTCTTGAAATAACCACGTTTCATAATAAATCAAGAGAATAGGTGAAACACATATAGCATCTTCACATTTCCAGTTTATACGGTTGTGTTCGTTTTGATCCTGAACATATCCCGTCTTCATGAGAGCTTTAGAGAATTTAGCCATCTCAATCCTCATAGATGCGACCCGACATCACTCTCATATAGGTAACGTTTATTAAAGATAGTCTGTTATATCCCTCTTATGAACAACGCTATTAACATTATTAAGAATATGATATTCACCCTTCATTCTTCAACAGAAACACATTTTAACGTCATAGGAATGAAAACCATGTGTTTTTTCTTTTCTTTGAGTCTTCCCCAACCAGTTCTCCTATTGAACCTAGACCATGGGATCTCCAATGTTGCCAGGTTAGGTTTCCATCAAGTGATGACTCATTGTATTGGCTTACGACCCATTCCCCTCGATGTAAATATGACTTGCTCTTTTGATAGGCCTTTGGTCAAAGGATCAGCCAGGTTTTCCTTTATCTAATATAATCCAATGCTATCACTCCATTGGAAAGCAATTGTCGTATTGTGGCATATCTTCGTCTAATATGCCTTGACTTACCATTGTATATTTTATTTTTGCTTCTATTTAAAGCAGCCATATTATCACAATGGATACAAAGTGCCGTTACTAGCTTCGGCCACAAAGGAATATCTTCAGTAAAGTTTCTAAGTCATTCGGCTTCTTCTGCAGCTTTTTCAAAAGCAATATATTCAGATTCCATTGTTGAACGTGCAATATAAGTCTGTTTGGATGACTTCCAAGACACGGCACCACCACCAAGAGTAAACACATACCCACTTGTGGATTTACTATCCGTACTTCCACATATCCAGTTTGTATCACTATAACATTCTAAAACAAGAGGATATTTTGTGAAATGTAAACCATAGTGAATTGTGTGCTTTAAGTATCTCAATACACGAACTTAATCTACTCAATGAGTAAGCCAAATCTGGTCTTGTACAATTTATAATGTACATGAGGCTTCCAACTATTTGTGTGTATTCTAACTGAGACACACTTTCACCATCATTCTTTGAAAGCTTGCATGTTGGATCAAATGGAGTAACTACCGGTCTGTCATCAAAGTGACCAAATTTCTTTAAGACTTTTTCCACATAATGAGATTGAGTGAGTGAATAACCATTTTTATCTCGTTTAATTCTTATTTAAAATCATCCAATCCCATGTCTTTCATTTCGAAATTATCACTTAACATCTTCTTTGTGGCATTGATAATATCTTTACTTGTTCCTAGTAACATATCATCCACGTAAAGACATAAAATGATCGTATCATTTTTGGTTTGCTTAATGTAGACACATTTGTCACATTCGTTTATGGAAAATCCATAATATTTCATTGTATTATCAAACTTTTCATGCCACTGTTTTGGTGCTTGTTTAACTCCTACAGTGACTTTACAAGTTTACACACCTTCTTTTCTTGGCCCTTGACAACAAAGCCCTCGGGTTGTTCCATATATATTTCTTCATCTAGTTCTCCGTTTGGAAATGTCGTTTCGACATCCATTTTATGAATTTCTAGATCATATATGGCAGCGATTTCTACTAGCAATCTGATAGAAGTAATCTTGTGACCGGCGAATATGTATCAAAGAAATCAAGACCTTCCTTTTGGCAAAATTCTTTTGGCACTAATCTTGCTTTATATTTTTCAATCGTTCCATCCGGTCGTAACTTCTTTGTGAAGATCCATTTATGTCCAATTAGTTTACTCCCAAATGGTAAATCGACTAAATCCCAAGTATGGTTATTCAAAATGGATTCCACTTTGCTTTGAATCGCTTCTTTCCAATAAAGTGCTTCTGAAGATTCAATAGCAGCTTTGTATGTTTGTGGTTCATGTTCACTTAAGTATGTCATAAAACCAGTACCAAAGTTTTTGACGATCCTTACTCTTTTACTTCTTTTTGGTTCACTTTCTTCTTCTTGAACCTTTGAAGGTGAGGTTTCACGTATTCTTTTAATACTTGTGAGCTTTGGTTCTTTGTAAAGCCTCATTAGACTCAATAATTGTATTTACTTTTACCTCAACATTTTCAGATTTAAGAACCAAAGATCTGTATGCAACACTATTTTCTGCAGGACCAATGTAAACACAATCCACCGTTTTTGGTCCTATAATAGTTCTCTTTGGAAAGGATATTTGAACATTTGCAAGACAACCCCACACTTTCACATTTTTATATGAAGGTGCTCTGTTTTTACAGATTTCATAAGGAGTTTTTTTACTCTTTTTATGAGGAATTTTGTTTAAAACTGAATTTGCAGTGAGAATCGCTTCATCCCATAAGCTAAGTGGTGCACCTGAATTGTTTAACATGAAATTCATCATTTCTTTAAGCGTGCTATTTTTACTTTCAGCCACCCCGTTTTGCATTGGATTATAAGATGTTATAGGTTGATGAATTATTCCATGTGTAGAACAAAAATCTGAGAATTCTTTTGATTTGTATTCTCCACCACGATCTGATCTGAAGATTTTTATTCTCTTATATAACTGATTTTCTACCTCTGCTTTGAATTTCTTAAACATGTTCAAAGCCTCATCTTTGGTATCAATTAAATAGATATTGCAGAACTTGCTATAATCATCAATAAACAAAATGTAATATTTCTTTCTTCCACGACTTGGAGTTGATTGAAAATCACATAGATCACTATGTATTAATCCAAGTAACTCATTTGATTTTTTCACGGACTTATAAGGATGCTTTGAATATTTTGATTCTATGCAAACCCCACATTTTTGTCTCTTATTATCATTGGGATTGCACTTTGGCAACAGTCCCAAATTTATCATTCTATATAAAGAACGATAGTTGACATGTCCAAGTCTTTCATGCCATAAATCACTTGAGTCAAGAAAGTAAACAGAAGCAGTTCCTTTGCCTGCATTTTTATTATTGATATTTTCAACATTCAGTTTGGAAAGACCATCAGTTAGGTAGCCTTTTATTACATACATCCCACCTTTAGTGAGTACAAACTTGTCAAACTCAAATACAAGTTTAAAACATTTGTTACTAAGAAGAGACCTAGAGATTAGATTCTTTCGAATCACAGGCACATGAAGCACAATTGTAAGTGCAAGTTCTTTTTTTGAAGTGAGTTTGAGAACCACTTTGCCTTTCCCTTCAATTGTAGCAGTGCTAGCATTTCCCATGTAAAGCGTTTCTCCACCAGAACCTTGCTCATATGTAGAGAACACATTTCTATCGGAGGAAATGTGCTTCATTGCACCTGTATCGACCCACCAATCATTTGAGTTGGTCATCAAATTTTGACTCAGAAACAACAGCAACAAATGGATCTTCAACAAAATTTGCTTGGTTTCCATCTCCAGAGTGTGTTTCCTTTTGTTACGGCAGTCTTTGACCCTATGTCCAGGGTTTCCACACATCCAACATGCCCCTTGAGTTCTTAAAGTTAGTATCCTTAGGAGCGGTGAAAACTTTCTCAGGCTCCAACTGGAGATCATTTTTAGGAATACTATGAATGAAAGGAATTAAAAAAAAAATTGAGTAGGGAGGAATGGAATAAAAGAAGTTATGAAAAAATTAAAATGGAATGAATGATTGCAGAAATTTGTTTTTGTTATTCAAATAGTAACTATTTTTGAGGA